GGAAAGAGGAAAGACAATGATAAAGGAATAGTAAAATATAAAAATAACATTTTCTGGGTACATACTATAGAACAGACTGTGCAAGCTGTTTGTGAACATGGTATCTCACTTAATCCACATAACTGTATCAGGTAGGAATAATTTTCCCTATGGAAAAAGTGGTAAAAATGGATGCTCCAAAACACATGAGATCTAAAAGTTGACAACAGAGCCCAATTCTGAATTCAGGTGTGCTAACTCCAAAGCTTATATTGTTCCCTATAGCACAAAAATTACCCTATGATCCTTGTATAGCTATCACCTGGCCCAAATGCCTCTTCAGCTTCCCCATAGCAAGGCACCTGCCAAGTGGACACACCCGTGAAAGTAACACAGGTGACAGCATTTTCTAGCTCCCACACTTTTGTTCATTAACTTCCTCCTCACTGAGTCACCTAAAACCCCAAATCTCTCTCCTTCCTCATCTTTATAAAAATTTGCCTGTACTGTGTCCAAGTTACCTCTTCAGTGCTTGCTCCCTGTTACTAGAGCATGTAAAAGTAATCCATATCCTTTGTCAGTGTATGACAATGTCAACAGTTCTCCCAGATGTATGTATTCATTTATTCAATCCATATTTACTCAGCATTTACTATGTGTCAGACCCTAGACTAGGTAAAGATAAAACAATGAACAAGGCAAATATGGTCCCTACAAACAAGAAATTTACATCTATTTGGAAAGACAGACAATTGAACAAGTAATTGAAATAGAACATAAATCCCACTGATAGAGGAATTGCCAGATGTCAGTGCAACAGAATCTTTTTTTTTTTTTTTCAGACAGGGTCTCACTCTGTTGCCCTGGCTAGAATGCCATGGCGTCAGCCTAGCTCACAGCAACCTCAAACTCCTGGGCTCAAGCAATCCTTCTGCCTCAGCCTCCCGAGTAGCTGGGACAACAGGCATGCACCACCATGCCCAACTAATTTTCCTATATATTTTTTAGTTGTCCAGCTAATTTTCTTTCTATTGTTAGTAGAGACAGGGTTGTGCTCTTGCTCAGGCTGGTCTGGAACTCCTGAGCTCAAATGATCCACCCGTCTTGGCCTCCCAGAGTGCTAGGATTATAGGCGTGAGCCACCACCCCCAGCCCTGGGCTACAGAATCTTTTCAAGACTCAGACCTATCCCAAAGGACTAACTCTAAGGACAGGGGTGATTTCAGGCTGGTTACAACCTAGGAAGGAAAAGGGAAGAGCCTCCTCATTGTCTCTGAACTCGGGCTTTCTCTTTAGCCATCACTCAGTCTGACAGGCTAAATGGGTGCAGGTGCCATTCATTATAGAAGACTCTTTGGAGGAACTACTCTGTGAATGTGATATTTCATGTAGAATACAGTGGGAAAGAAGTTCAGGTCCAGGTAGGTTTCACAGGCCTCATATCGAAACCAAGTAACGAAAAAAAAAAAAAATCAAAACCAAGTAATCCTTCTCACTCAGAATATCTTAAGTCCATATGCTGGACATTATGCTAGTCTTCTATACCCTCTTTATTAGGCAGGGGCTGGAAATGGCAGTTGCTAAGCAACACCAACCATTCCTCAGCTTCCCACCAGCCCCATGGGATACCACTAGTATCCCCAATATAAGATTAAGTACTCCGTTCCAATTAATTCACCCAAAGAAAGAAGAAACCCTAAGGGACTATCTCACCCTCAAAAGAAGTAGCTACCTCACTTCCTTCAAGTACTCACTCAAATGTCACCTTCTCAAGGTCTACCCTAAGCCTCTTATTTAATACTGCTCCCTCCTCCTCTCATATGGCACACTACATTTTTTCTACAGTAAATTATATAGTGTGTTTACTATTTATTGTATGTCTTTACCTCCTAGAATGTATGTTCCATGGGAAAGAGGTCTTCTGTTCCCTGATATATCCCAAGCACCTATAACTGGTACAGAGTAGGCACTCAATGTTTGTCAAACAAATGAATATATTCTCCCATTGTGAAGGCCCCAGTATTATTTTCCTATTGCTGATGTAACAAATTACTGCAAATTTAGAGCTTAAAACAGTACAAATTTATTATCTTATACTTTTGGAGATCAGAACTCCAAAATGAGTTTCACTGGGCAAAAGTCAAGGTGTTACCAGGGTTATGTTCATTCTGGAAGCTCTCTGCAAGAATCTACATCCTTGCTCTTCCCAGCTTCTTCAAGGCTGCCTGCATTCCTTGGTCTATGGTCCCTTCCTCCATCTTCAAATCTCCTTCTCTTTGACTTCTGCTTTCATCACCACGTCTCCTGACTCCAAACCTCTTGCCTGCCTCTATTAAGAATCCTTACTGGCCAGGTGCGGTGGCTCACGCCTGTAATCCTAGCACTCTGGGAGGCCCAGGTGGGTGGATTGCTTGAAGTCAGGAGTTTGAAACCAGCCTGAGCAAGAGCGAGACCCCGTCTCTACTATAAATAGAAAGAAATTAATTGGCCAACTAATATATACAAAAAATTAGCCGGGCATGGTGGTGCATGCCTGTAGTCCCAGGTACTTAGAAGGCTGAGGCAGCAGGATTGCTTGAGACCAGGAGTTTGAGGTTGCTGTGAGCTAGGCTGACGTCATGGCACTCACTCTAGCCTGGACAACAAAGCAAGACTCTGTCTCAAAAAAAAAAAAAAAAAAAGAATCCTTGTTAATACATTGGGCCCACCTGGATAATCCAAATAATCTCCGCATCTCAAGATCCTTAATCACATTTGCAAAGTTCTTTTTACCATGTCAGGGTGAGACTCTGGGATTCACAGGTTCTGATGATCAGAATTTGGATATCACTGGGGCATCCGTAATTCAGCCTACCACACTCTCCAGGCTACCTTGTTCCTTCTTTTAAAGCCTAAAATAACAGATCTGCAGAGCCAGCAGAGCCCCTGGAAGATGAGCTAGTTCTCATAATTTCACTCTCTGGCCAATGCCCCAGCTCAAGTCCTCACCCTAAGTATTTCAACAGCCTCCTAAATGATCTCTCTGCATCCAGTCTCGTCCTTCCAAATTCATCCCATATTCCACAATAATCTTAAATGAATGATAGTTAAAATATGTGCAGTTTATTGTATCCAATTATGCCTCAATTAAGCTTTTTCAAAAAGGGGGGAAGATGAATTTCAAAAATGATCAATCCAAAAGAAAGCAAGATAAAGATAAAAAAAGAACATAGAACAGGAGAATAGAAAGCAAATAGTGCCAGACCTAAAACTAAACATGTATTGCTTAAAATGGACTAAATGCTCAGATTTTTAAAAATTTGTCTAACTACATTAAAGTAACAAAACTCAACTATAAGCTCCTTCTAAAAATTTGGTTTCTGAGACTAAAAGAAATAGAAAAGACATACCTTGTATATGTATCAGTGTTTTATTGCCAGCACAATGCCATGTGCCAACCAAAGACAAAACCTTAGTCACATATAACAGTAAGAGTTTACTGCTCATACATCTGAGCTAATCAGCTCTGTTCTGCTGATCTAGGCTGGCCTCAGCTACAATGACTGGGATGACGTGGCTCTGCTCCATATCACTCAATCAGGTTAGCCTGAGTATGTTTGCATGGTGATGGAAATTGTCCAAGAGAATAAAGTCCTAAATGCAAGCCCATCTCAAGCCTCTCCTTTGGGGGATGTCTGTTCACATGGTTAAGCCCAAAGTCAAAAATCAGGGCAGGTCAGCTCATGGTAGGGGGCACAGTAAAATTACATGGCAAAGGGTGTGAACACAGTGTAACTAAAGGAAGGGTGAAAAATTGGGGCCGGAAGATACAATCTACCTCTCTATATGACCAGCAAAGTAAAACTTGAGGCAAAAAAGCATTACTGGAGAAAGAGGGACATTTCATAATGATGAAAATGATTTTTAAAACTTCTTCAGATTGTAGGTACCCAATCACATAGCCTCTGAAGGAGAAATAGACAAATGTACAATCATGATGGGAGATTTAGCACCCTTCCCTCAAAAACAGTAAGGAAGAAGTGAAAAAAACTTTGTAAGGATACAGAAGATTGTAACAATTTAACAAATTACTCTGAACAATTATAAAACACTGTACTCAGTAAATGCAGAATGTAAATTCTTTTCAAATAGACATGAAACATTTATCAAAAGTGATTATATATGGTGCCACACAACTGGTTTTAATAAACTTTAAATAATTGACATCTTAAGGATATATTTTCCGACTATAGTGCAATTTAGCCAGAAATCAATAAGAAAAAGAAAACTAGAAAATTCCACATTTGGAAATTAAACACCACATTTGTAAAAACCCATGGGCCAAAGGAAAATAATCACAATGGAAATGAGAAAAAAAGTCTTTCAACTACCCAGTGATGAAACTACCTACACACACACACAACCTGGTGGGAGTAACTGTAAATACTGGGGTGTCCAAAGGCAGATGTTGTGAACAAAATCTCTACGACTAGGAAGATTGCTAACTGCGGGGATACTGAATTTAAAAGGTAGTTTTTTAACCAGAATAGTTGCCACCACCTTTTCCCACAAATCTACAGATCCTTAACTTCGTGTCTATCTATGCACCAGCCAGGTTAGCCAAGTTCACAGGAAAATTCAGTAATAGTTAGGGGGAGATCAATAGACACTGTATTTCCCTTCCAGAACTCCTCTCTGATTTCTACACTCAAATATCCAACAGCTTACTGAAATCTCCACTTGGATTTCTCACAGGAACCTCAAAACTAATGTTCAAAATTGAACCCCTGATCTTCCCTCCAAAACCTCTCCCTCCTGAAATCTGTCCCATCTCAGTAAAGGACACCATCGCCATTCACCCGCTGATTAAGTCTAAAACCAAGGGGTGCTGGTCAGGATTGAGAAAGCAGAAACAGACTTATCCTCTTCGTCATAAACAACTGGAAAACTGGATAAAAGACATGAAGCCGCTACCGTCAGACGGTCAACAACAGGCGGCACCCGGCCGTGGTCCTTGAGAGAAGGGAAACAAATGAGCTCACCCAACGACGACGTAGGGAGCGGACGGCGTCAAAGTGCCTCAGCTTTGGCTGCTGACTTATAATACTAATGTAACTTTTTGTTTCTAGCGATGCTTCAGGAGGAAGCACGGAGCTAGAGTGAAGTCACCAAACCCAAACACAGACTTCTGGCTTGAGGACGGCAGCGTCTCTCAAGATGGAGGCCTGGCTGGAGCAGGGCCCGAGGGAGGCGGCGCCGGTGGGCGTGGCCGGGCGGGGCGGGGCCAAGGATGCTCCCGCCCAGAGAAACACTGGATCCCAACTTAGCTCAGAGCACCCCTTTTTTTTGGAGACAGACTATTGCTCTGCGGACCCTGAGCTTGAGTGCTGTGGCGTCAGCCTAGCTCACAGCAACCTCAAACTCCTGGACTCAAGTGATCCTCCTGCCTCAGCCTCCCGAGTAGATGGGACTACAGGTGCACACCACCACACCAGGCTGATTTTTCCCTAATATTTTTTTGTAAAGACGGGGTCTCGCTGTTGCTGGGGCTGGTCTCGGACTCCTGGCCTTAAGTGATCCTTCTGCCTCAACTTCCCAAAGTGCTACGATGACAGGCATGAGCCACTGCTCCCGGCCTAGAGCACCACTTTTTAAATGTCTTTTAAGGTATACTATCTGTTTCAGTTTGTTTTGGTTCTTATAAAATAACTTAAGTGTAAGCTTAGTGCTTGTTAATAATTTAGTTCAGGCATCAACTATTTTCTGTAGCCTAGTTATTCATAAATTGCCTTATTTTTTTTCAGAGATGGGCTCTTGCTATGTTGTCCAGGCTGGTGAGCAGTGGCTACCCAAGGCGCCATTGAAGCTCACTATAAAATCCTGATCTCAACCAATCCTCTCACCTCAGCCTCCAGAGGAGCTGAGAGGTGTTACCTCGTTTTTAATTTTTTTTTCTTTTTGCCTTTCTTTAAGGCGTTTCAAACATTTGAAGGGTGATGGGCCTGTTTTCCCCTATTTTTGTTTAATCTTTCATTCATCCAGCTATTTCTCTAACTCTGCCCTCATTCCTGAGCTCTAGACCCTTATATCCAACTGCAGCCTAACGGTCTTCACCTGCATGTCTCGCTGTAGACACCTCAAACTCAGTGAACTCTAACTTAATTATCTCCCCTTCATATCTGCTTCATCTCCTATGGCTCTAAATCACTAAGATCTGAACAATGTCTCATTCTTGACTACTCCTATTTGTTTGCAAACAGCCCCCCCATATAGAATAACCAAATTCTGCCTATTATATTTCCTATCCATTTCTTCTACTCATTCCCTTATTGCATTTCAGTGGGTACCAACCAACTTAATACTGCTAACTTACTGCAGCAGACTCCCAAAGAATCTCACTACTTCCAATTTCCCCCTCCCCAAATCTATCATTCAAAGAGCAACTGGTGAACTTTTAAAAATGCAAATCTGACCATGCTTAAAATTCATTCCTAAAGTTAAAGCTCCTTAAGCTGGATCCCACTTTTCTCTCCAGGCTCATCTTTCCTACTCTCTTCCACCTCCACTTATATTGAAACTCTAGCAAACCAAACCTCTTGTACATCCCTACATCATTATGTATCTTTATTCATGCTGTTCCTATTGTTAGGCTTACCAACTTCCCACTCCCAACTTTTACCTGGCTAACTCCTTTTCTTAGTGTGAAACAACTCAGGAAGCTTTCTTTGATCATCCTCACCACATTCTTTACCACCAGGTTTTGTAAGTGCTTCCTACTGTGTGTCCTATCTCTTCCTCCAAATAAACCTCTTATTACTATGTTAGCCACACTGATTCTAATACCCTGTGGGGAGGGGGCTCTGTGGCTAGCAAATGCACTAGAGCAGGTTTCAGGAATTGAAAGAAGTGAGAGGCAGCAGATAGATGAGACATACTCTTTATGGGGGAGGGAGGCAGAGAATGCCACCTGCTGTGAGAATATGGTGAACGCTTGTATATGGCTCACAATAATAGTGGCAACATGTCAAATGAAAGCGTGATCATATGGGTTCACATAGGAGATAAGACCTTGGTTACATAAGTGTGCTGACTCATGTCTTACCGGAAGGCCGGCTTGCTGAGGGCTGGGTCTGAAAAACACTCTGGCAGTTATCTTAGTGTTATATTCGAGATTCACAAGGCCACAAGAGACAAGTCACTGAAGCTGTAATTATCAAAAGGAGTTTTATTGTCTAACTCAAGCTAGGGTCCGAGCCCCCAGAGTACCGGCGCAGTGGCCTCTTCTTCCAGCAGGGACCCTCCTTTGTGTGTTAGTGACCCTTTTATAATCCAATTGTTTACACACTGGTCATGGATCTGCCCCCACAGTGATTCTTACTTCATCCTGCCCCTGATAGGCTCTAACCTGTACCGGGTCCTAGCTGAGAGACTCCGGTTTCTGTGTTCTTTGTCTTTCTCCTCTGCATCCCATAATGTACTCATAATGCCTTGCGGTTAGCAAACAAGCAGTAAACAGAAGCTGGAAGGTGTCCATTGTCCTTATAGCCCAGTATCTTACATTAGTTTGGCCTAAGAAACCTATTGCCTATACAAATGAATTTTCCCTTACACCCTGTTTTGCTGAGGTTTTAATTTCTGCTTTCCCCCTCTAATTATAATCTACCTGCAGAAAAGACTATATCTATTTAATAATTCATCTCTTTATTCCCAATGCCTACTACAATACTTGGCACATGTCAATCAATTGGTTGGTTAAGAAGCTACAGACCCATCAACCCTTAAACTGAATTAAGCACTTAGGCAGTATCTTTTCTGACCCAGCTGAATTCCCTGGAGTGTGCCTCCCAGTAACTAGTTAGGAGTATATGACGCTGACCTGAAGAGAGATTGGTAACTTGGATGATGGGGTAGTTGATACTGCAGAGGAAGAAAAGTAGACTGAGCCTTGAGATGTTTACCCTCACCCTCCTAATTTCAATTCTGGACCCTGGCTTAACCCTTGACATAACAGTACTAAACTTTGGGCAACTAATATTATATTAGTAGCAATCAAGGGATTAAGCAATCTTTTGTGATATGAAAATTTTTGAAAGTCCATTCTGACTGCTTCTTGAGAGACTTTCCCTCATTTCTCATCAGAGAATGAAACAAGCCCTAGTGATCAATCCCATGTTTGAGCAAATACAGGCCTGATCCTATTACTCCTGGTTTTAAAGGTTCATCAAAAAGCAAGACAATGTACACTATTATATACACATAATAATTAAACATTTTTAAAAAGATGCCGGGCATGGTGGCTCACACCTATAATCCTAGCACTCTGGGAGGCCAAGGCGGGAGGATTGCTTGAAGCTAGAAGTCAGAGACCAGCCTGAGCAAGAGCAAGACCTGTCTCTACTTAAAAAAAAAAAAAAAGAAAAAAATAGCTGGGCATGGTGGTGCACACCTGTAATCTCAGCTGTTTGGGAGGCTGAGTGAGATAGGAGGATGGCTTGAGCCCAGGTGTTTGAGATTGCAGTGAGCTATGATGATGCCTCTACACCCTAGGCCTGGGAGATAGAGCAAGACCCAGTCTCAAAAAAAAAAAATGTAGAGCAAAGTAAAGCCAAAGCAAGCAGAAGGAAGGAAATAGGATAAGGAGGGGGTAGGGGCAGGAGGGAAATGGGTGTGGCTATGAAAGGGCAAGATCAGGGATTCTTGAGGTGATGGAAATGTTCTGCATCTTGACTGTATTGACGTCAATGCTCTGGTTAGTTATACTATTGTACTATAGTTTTGCAATTGCTACCATTGGAGGAAACTGTAAAGCTGTTACCACTGGAGAAACTACCATTGGTGGGATCTTCCTATGTTATTTCTTACAAATGCATGTGAATCTACAAATTATTTCAAAATAAAATGTTTAAGTTTAAAAAAAGCAACAGATTTTTACAATAATTGAAAACATAATTATCCAAAATATATAAAGAATTTCAACTAAAAATACAGAAAAGATGACAAAACAATGGCAACTATGAGTAAAAAGTCTGAAAAGGCACTTCACAAAGGAGTAAAAGCACAATGAAATACTACAATACACAGATTGGTTACGATGAAATAAACAGTATCAGGTGTTAGCAAGGATGTTAAACAATCACTCCCACACTAGTGGCAGGTGTAAACTGGAACAACCCCTTTGGGAAACGATTAGGCATTATCTTTAAAAGCTGAAGATATATATGCCCTATGATCCAGTAATTCCATACCTAGCATATCACCTAGATACAAATTTGTGCTTACGGTACCTCAAGATAGATAAACAATAGTGTTCCTAGCAGCATTGCTTGCCACAGCCCTAAACAAGAAATAATTCAAATATTTATCAACTGAAGAATTAATAATGTCAGCATATTCATACAATTGAATAACATGGAGCAAACAAAGCCAAATGACCAGACAGTATACATACCAGGCCTTCTAGTATAACATTGAAGGAAAGCAAATTATTTCTCCCTAAAATATTGAGGATTGTTAAAGACACTGAAAAGGCAGGGGCACACTCTGCCTCATCCTCTACTTGCCTGGTGGCAGGACACAAATCCTTTCTGGAAACAGCACTTGCTTATCAGCCCAGAGACGGCACTAGCAGGCACCAGAGGACTCTAGGAACAGTTTTTTACTACCTTCCTGCATTTCCCCGCCCTTTAAAAAGACTGGAACTGCTTTCTCCCTTGTCTCGTCATTATAGGATTGAATACTAACTATTTAAGCAAGGTTCCTAAACCATTGCCTTCAGAGAGATTTTTGAACTAGGGCCTCTTGATGGGTCCAACACCTGTCAATAATCTTACGCTGGTTTTCTCTTGTTAATCTGACTATTATTTTCAGGAGAGTGTCTCAACTAAGAATTTATCAGGGTTAAAAAATGAAATTATATTTTCTTCCCTTCAGCATTTATCAGAGGAAACCAACGAATACAGGTTCCAACGAATACAGGATCAGTAGTAGGGGTGGAGGTCCTCTGTTGCCCATCCATTTGGAGTCAGCACACAGGAATGAAAGAGACCCTGGTCCTTGCATGAATATGACTGTGCAGTGCCTCCTAATCCACCGAGCCCCTAACTGCCAATAAGGAAGGTTATTTCTTCACTTTGTTGAAGAAGAGGCCTGAAAACCAAACAATGGCTGGCCTGACAAGGGCTGCGATCCAACAGATGCATGGTGTGGCAGAGCCATGACTTCTAGCCCTGTTCCACCACTTCATCATTCATCAGTTAGGAGTGCATAGGCTCTCACCTGATGAGATCAGGGGCCAAAGTCCATGTCTTGTTATGGCAGACAAGTGGCCTGATCAGCAGTCTATTAAAAGTAAAATTGATTGCCTTAAGTATTTGGCTGTAGCCAGTTTCCATGGAGCCCAAAGGACAACTCTCTTCCTGAGAGGCCAACCTACAGGGAATGTTGGA